ATTTAATCAAATAAATATTTAATTCCCCAAAGTATAGTTTGGTAAGTGGTATCAGAGATCTATGTTATAAAATAGAATAGAATTCTTTATTGGCCAAGTGTGATTGGACACACAAGGAATTTATCTTTGGTGCATACGCTCTCAGTGTACATAAAAAGACAAGATACACTTGTCAAGAATCACAAGGCACAACACCCAGTGACAGTCATATGGTACAATAAGCAATCAAATCATACTAGGAAACAATCAATATCAGTATAAATTGCAAGGATATAATATAATGGATCATGACTAGTTTTTTCATCACACATCTTAGATTTGTGTGTGTGTGAGAAAGATGAGGTTTAATTTCCATCCGAATACATTATTCATGTACTCCCAATTTTAAATTTTCCTTCAAAAGGAAGAAAAGACAGTTGGCTCATTGTTCTACAAGGCTTCCTTATTCCCTACTTTAAAAGGAAGTACTACACTTGCCCTTTCTGAATCTGTAACTTTTCCTAAGTTTTCCTGACCTTTCAGAATGCCTGCAAAATATTAGGCAATTTCAGATACCATAACAATCTAGAATAAATCCCCAGTGATTCAGGATGAAGATTAAATTTAAAGATTAAAGTTCCATTTCAGAAGATCCCTATTTCATTATTTCTGCATAGCTGACTGCCTAATCAAGTTGTTTTCTCTTAAAATACATACATGTTACTAAGAGCTTCTGCTATCTCTTTATTATTCAGGGAAGCTTTCCCATACACACATAACGTTTGTGGAAATTCTGTTTTTTTGTTTTTTTTTTAATACTATAGCTAAACAGAAAATGTAATTAAAGTTGTCAAGTTTACAGCACCACTTACCAGTGGGCATATACTCCCACCAGCGACCTGCGCAGAGATCCACAACTTTTACTACTCTTAGATACAAGATGACAGCTTCCTTTAACTTCCGGGAGAGGCATTCCATGCACATAATATCCTGCAGGGGAAGATACCTTCAGGAAGAAAATAAAATGGGATTAATTTTTAGATGGTTTCTTTTCTCTACTATTATACTAAAGAACAATTTGTATACTAAAGAACATTTATTAACAACTACAGCAAGAAATAAATTCAACAGAATAAAAACAAAACTGTAATAAAACAGGTCATTTGATTTATTTATTCTTTTTCAATCATCAAGTAACAATTGTTCCTTTGGGAGAATCACATCCTAAAATATTAAAAAGACAAAGACATCACATGTGTAAACATTGCCATCCAATCATGGCACCAGGGCTTCAAAATTACCAGGCTGAATTTTTAGAATAGCTGGGAACTATATTTGTCAGGCAATGAAAAAACAATAACGTAAGTTACCAAAGAGGATATTTGATAAATGAGTCCTGCATCTTATAGTTATCCCAAATAGAGAGAAAACCCTCTCTGTAGAACATTTTTTTTTAATTTCATAGGTCAATGATTATTCAGCAATGGCAAATTATTACTACACCAAAAGAGGTAATCTGAACCTTCTTTTGAAACTTTTAAAACAATTCAAAAGCCCACTCCCTATCTGGAACAGCACAACCCCAAAGGTAAGGGCAGGCTCTACTTTTAGAAAGCATTACGACCTGGCTCTTTCAGAGGGCCTTTGGATATGGTGAGTATTGTTACTTGCTCCTGAAGAGTAATATCCTAATGCCTAGTGGCACTAGGCAACGTGTGAATGATTAGGATACTTTTTTTCTGCAACACAAAACGTTTCACAAAGTAATACATGATGTATTGGCATAATGTTACCCAAACCTCTAAATGGAAACAGTTAAATGTCAACATTAGGCAGATGCTTGTTATCACTGACCATTAAAGTGAATGATGGGAGATATTAAAACTAAAACAAAATCTGTTTTCTTACCTAAAGATATGGCAAAGCACTTCATGTGAAAGCTGGTTCATGTAGTCTTTCAGCTCAGCAGCTTTGATGCATACAGGACTTTCCCGGCTTGTGGAATACATTTTCATGTTTTTCCGTCTAGGCCCCATTTTGATTGTATTTGCAGATTGCAGAGTACTGCACTTCTAAGGACAGTGGAACTGAAAGAGAAAATTAAAATAAGTGAACAGTTTTAATGGCAACTTAAATTAACATAAAGTCTATGTAAAAATTATATCTGTACAAAGCTTAAAAAACACAATTCAAAAACTAAGAGAAGCCTTCTGGAAAGATGTGTCATACTCTCCACTATGCACAGTATCTTCCATTTGGATGTAAGGACTTTCTGATTAGGAGAAACCAGTTTGTAAATGAAACCCCAAGTCACATCTGTTGTGAAAAAATCATTAGTGTTTGTGAAGAATTACAATTAGTGTTCCAAAGCCAAAGGAATTTTTTTTTTTTTTTGATTAGCCTAGTCCTGCATGACTCCACTTAAGTTCTTAACAAATAATATCAGGCATTCATATTCAGTCATAATCACAATTTATTCCAATGGTGCTTATCTCAAATTCAGAGAGAATTGCTAACATAAGTAGTGAAGGATTAAAACCGTTAGCAAATTTCAAAAGACATACCAACTCTTCTGCTGTCTTAGAAATAAATCTCACTGAATTTATCAAAGGATAGTTAAGTCAACATCCATAAAATTAATTTAGAAAAGAAAGTGGCCAGTTTTTGTAAAAATTGTAAAAATTTTGTAAAAACTGTTAGCAATTAGACTTTTTGTATATAATTTCCCACCAGTCTCCCTATTTACAATCTTCCCACAACTGTACACTGTGCAATTCATATAACATCCCATGCCTCTCATAAAGTAGCCTATAATTTAAAAATCAAATACTGCATAACAAGTTCATCAGTATGCAAGAGTTTGCATCTGCATCAAGATTTTGAATCACAGTCTATGTGATTCAAACGCAGATTCAATGCAGTAAATAAATGCATTATTCAGAGGAATTAACAATTATACTACAGAATATACGAAGGGTTTTTTTTTTTTAATTCGTAATCCAAGAAATTCATTAGTTTCCCCTTCAATTGGGCTGAATCCACACAACAGAGTAGATTATGCTCAGATGGATTCCAGTTTATTCTGTGAAGCCAGTAACTGTATTTTGGTAACAACATGCAATTATGAATACTTGTTTTGTAAGAATCCTTTACTGTAGTAAAGGAGTGGGGGGGGGAATCATTATTTCAAAAAATTCTGTAAAGTGGCATCATCCATGTGCTAGCATTATAATCCCCCTACAGTGGGAGTGTAAGTCATTCCAAGGGTTTGAAGAGCTCCACTATTCTACAAAAACTTAAGTGGAAGAAATAAAAATAAAAACACTCATTTGGTGTGCCGGGGGACAGCAACGGAAACCATAATAACCCCCATCTTGCTTTTTTTTAAAAAAAAAAAAGACAATGGGAATGAGGAAAACACAAGAGAGCTGCTTGTCAAGTCTGGAAGACAACAGCAAGACCAAGTCCAACCTTCAACCCCAGCTGTGTAAGCCTAAACAAGTTAGTAAGGAGGGGGGAGGGTTTGGGGGTTAAGTGTCTTCCTTGCTCTTCCCTCCTTCCTTTTTTAAAACTCCATCACCAACCCTTCGCCCTTCCTTGGCTCCTCAATAACCGCTGAGCACTCCTTTCTCAATAGGATAATAAGTAGGCCGCGGGTGCTCAGGCTAACAAGACACGGGGGAAAAAAGCTGGTCATTCAAGAGCGTCGTTTTTTATTTATTTATTTTTTTACCCATCCCCACAGGGGCTGCTCCCTTCTATTGACATCTCTGGGTTGTCTCACACCAGCCTGTCCGGAAAAGGGGAAGGTCAGAAATCAGTGCTGACCCCCCACCTCCTCTAAAACGGCCTGCCGTAAGACAAACCGCCCCCCCCCCGTCGCGAAAGCAACGGCAGAAACAGCCCTGACTGCCCAACCGTCAACTGCCCTCCCGCAAAGCACCCTCAGCGACCAAGTCCCACCCTCACCCTCGGGCGCCTACCTTTCCTCATTGAGACTCTAATCCGAGCAGCTCAGGAGACGCTTTCCCCCCACCCCCACCCCATTGCCTCACAACACTTCCGCTTCCTGTCCATCCCTCACTACTTCCGCAAACTCTGCCCCTCCTCCCCAAGAGAGACCACAAAGAGAAGAGGGAGGGAGAGAGAAGCGGAACGAGTGGCTCCGCAACCCTCACTTCCGGCACGCGTAGAGAGACCAAATTTAGGTCCGAAGGGAAAGAGATTTTCTAAAAGCCGTCGCTGGGAGGTGTTTTTTTTTTTTTCATTGCCTTTCTGCCTTTTGCTCTTTAAACCGGATCTTCTCATTACACTCATTTCAACCTGGTTAGAAAATTGAGCACTCCCCCCTACAAGCGTTGACAAATCCATAATTTTGTTGATTATCCTAGCCTTAAAAGAGAATTCCAGTCTTTTTCCCCCCCCTCATAGATATTGCAGCTCTTTGCATCTTCGTTTTTCGCTTTTCTTGAAACTGTTAGCATTGCATCAAAAGAAGTTAATATAACTTTTTTTTTAAACTCTTGAGCCTTTAAACCTCCGACAGCTGGTTTCTTAGTGTAAATGTTTAATCTGGGAAAAAAATGATCAGGACATTTTTTTAAAAAATCCCGCAGAGGGAATTTTTTGGACATAAAGAGATTTATGCATTATGTTTGCTTTTTCTTTTTGTTTTTATTGAGGTGAACAGTGGTTTAGTAGAATGCCTTTCATCCAGGGGTGAAATCCAGCAGTTCTGGAGAACCAGTAGCGGAAATTTTGAGCAGTTCGGAGAACAGGCAAATACCACCTCTGGCTGGCCCCAAAGTGGGGTGGCAATGGAGATTTTGCAATATCCTTCCTCCAGGAGTGGGGAGGGAATGGGGATTTTGCAGTATCCTTCCCCTGTCACGCCCACCAAGCCACGCCCACAGAACCGAGAGTAAAAAAAGTTGGATTTCACCACTGCTTTCATACAACAACAACAACAAGGGTCCTGTCGTGAGAGCATCCAATGAAGAGCAAGTGGGCGATGCCCTGTGAAACTCTCCCCGCATATGGAAGAACGCATCACTCGGGAACCGGAAGTGCTTCCGAGGGCCTCTTTGGACTGGAACCCCTGCGTCCTTGCTACCCTCGCCAGCATGGCCACCGCGCTGCTCCTTCGCCGTCTGTCTTTGGCTATGGCCGGTCAGCCGCCCCGACGCTTTCTGGGCTCGGCGGCGGCCACGGCGCATTTCCAGCACCTGCTGGTGGAGAAGAAGGGAGCCGGGCAGAGAGTGGCGGTGATCCAGCTGAACCGCCCGAAGGCCCTGAACGCGCTTTGCGACGATCTGATGAAAGAGCTGAGCGAAGCGCTGGACGCGCTGGAGCGGGACCCGGGCGTGGGCGCCATCGTGCTGACGGGCAGCGAGAAAGCCTTCGCCGCTGGCGCCGACATCAAAGAGATGCAGCACCGGACTTTCCAGGAGTGCTACGGCGGCAACTTCCTCGCCCATTGGAACCGCCTGGCCAGCGTCCGAAAGCCGGTCATCGCCGCCGTCAATGGCTACGCGCTGGGCGGCGGCTGCGAACTGGCCATGATGTGCGACATCATCTACGCGGGCGAGAAGGCGCAGTTCGGGCAGCCGGAGATCCTGCTGGGTACCATCCCAGGTGCCGGCGGGACGCAGAGGCTGACCCGAGCGGTGGGCAAGTCTCTGGCTATGGAGATGGTCCTGACCGGGGAACGGATCTCGGCCCAAGAAGCCAAGCTGGCCGGCCTCGTCAGTAAAGTCTGCCCGGTGGAAAAGCTGCTGGACGAAGCCATCGGCTGCGGGGAGAAGATCGCCCGCCACTCCAAGCTGGTGGCCGCCATGGCCAAAGAAGCGGTCAATGCCGCCTTTGAGCTCACCTTAGCAGAGGGCAACCGGCTGGAAAAGAGGCTCTTCCACGCCACTTTTGCCACGGAGGACCGGAAAGAGGGGATGAATGCCTTTGTGGAGAAGAGAGATGCCAAGTTTAAAGACCATTAATTCCTCCCACCTGTAGCCTTTTGGGAGGGGGGTGTAGTGACGGTGGTGGGCTAGGAATGCAATTACATTTATAGAAGACAATATTGCCAAAAGAGGCCTTTGATTTGCAATCCCTGGACCCTAAAATGACAGCTATCTCCTTGCCAGAAAGTAGTCCCAGCTCTGATTATTGGCACCATGGTGTGCAAAAATCAATTTCTTTGGAAAGGTGGTAATTAAAAATAAAATGATCCCAATTTCCCTTAAAAGTGATCTTTGCAGAATGCCTGGGATTGCATAAAAATGGAAGCTTTTGTGTCCACAGAAAATGGGCAAAAATTCGAGGTGAAAGGAATAGTTATTACGGCACTAGAATTATGGATTGATGTATCTATAATTCTATACTGGTGTGCCTGCTGGATTCTTTTAACTTGGTGATAAATCTGAGCTTTAGCTACTGCTGTCCCATAGAAGCTATAGAGTAAGATACATCTGGTGTGATTGCATGTGGTTAAAAAGTCGCTAAGGTCAGTTCTAATCAAGAATATGCTGGTGCATCAGTGGAAGCGCTTCATAAACTTGTGTTAATAACAAACCAGTAAATGAAAAACTGCTGTGTCATTGCAATGGAAACTTGGTTAAAGCATTCCGTCCTGGATAGGCTGTTCGCTTAGGTGGATTTTCAACATTTTGGCTTATTTTCTTTTGAGAGAGGGCATCAGAATTTTATTTTTTAATGTGTGACAGTGTGTTCACAGAAAAAAAAAATCAGTAAAGGTTATCGTATAAGCTAATGAAAAATGCAAAAAAAAGTATTCTCACATCTGATTTCTCAATTGCAATAAACACTTAATAAAATGATGTTATTTAAAAATAGATTGTATCCCTTGCCCGCTCTGCCCTTCATCTATTTTTTTTTAACACATAGTTTTATTCGGATATATTCAGGAGTAACTCTGAGCTAAAAGGAGAGTTGCTTACTCCAATAGTGAACATCATATTTCTCTTTACTGCTGCTCTTAAAAGCTTTTTGCCCAAGACAGCTAATAGAACCGTCTCTGAATTTCAGGACTAGAACATCAGCCATTGCTTTTATGCCCTATAATTTTAGGAATAATCTGCTAAATTGTAACACTGAGTAATGTATTTTAGTTCACAAAGCCATCTGTAGGCAATTTCTGTCTCAGAAGGCAATCTGGTTCTGGATTGGGTGGCCCTGCTCAGCTATAGTTAGTTATGGCTTGGTGACTTCTCAGTAGAACTCACTGCAATGCACTTTATATCAGGTTGTTCCTGAAGAACACTGAAATCTACATCTGGTACAAAGAGACCAACCTCAATAGTTAGGAGTACAACCTGATTTGTCTAAATGACACCTCTACTGCAAGAGTTGCACTGCAAGAGTTGTTAGTAAGCTTTTTGGGTACAATTCAAGGTGCCAGTTGTCACCTTTAAAACCTAATATATCTCAACCTGAGTCTGACAACATCTGGATATCTGACAGCTACTTCAAGTGGGATTGCCCCACTCAAGAAGAACTGGAAGGGAAGGCTTGTTCTGGGTGTGATTCCTTTCTCAGGGTATTGCTACACTTTCTGAACAGCGTACCCCTGGAAATTAGAGCAGATGCAACCCTGCAAATATTTGGAAGGCCATGAAGACCTGGCTTTTTGTCAGATTTCCAGAGGCGATGGTATAAATTCTGTTGTAGAAGGGATACTGGTTGACTGTTTCTTGGTGTTTTTTAATGCTGTATTATAGTCTTTCATCCCATTGTTGTATGTATAGGTAGTCCTCAACTTACAATCACAATTAAGCCCAAAATTTCTGTTGCTAAGTGAGACATTTGTTAAATGACTTTTGCCCCATTTTATGACCTTTCTTGCCACAGTTGTTAAATGAATCACTGTAAGTCAGTTAAGTTAGTAACACGGTTGCTAAATGAATGTGGTTTCCCCATTGACTTTGCTTGCCAGAAGGTCACAAAAGGTGATAACATGACCCTGGGATGCTGTAACCGTCATAAATATGAGACAGTTGCCAAGCATTCAAATTTTGATCACATGATCATAAGGATTCTGCAACGGTCGTAAGTGTGAGAAACAGTCATAAGTCTTTTTTTTCAGTGCTATTGTAACTTTGAACAGTCACTAAATGACCTATTGTAAGTCAAGGACTGCCTGTACTTGTGAAACTATTCAGCTATTGTTTATGAGCTGAAATGGAAGTTAGGAAAACTGGTCAATGTCCAGAAATCAGGGTTCTTAGTAAAATATAGTATATTTATCTCAATATGGTGAACTTAAACCGAAAGCCCTGATCAACTTGGTACCAAGTAAAATAGACCATTTACTTTCACATGAATCTATCCAGACCATATAGTTAGACTCTCCACTGATAATACATTCCCATTCTTCATATGCATAGGTTGAAGTCAGACTGTTGTCTAAACTTAAATAGGCCATTTTGCTTCCATACTGTAGAACTCGTATCAAACTCAATCGGGTCATATGACGTATCGCAATATTTTTTGCCTTTGTGGAGCCAGGGTAAGCATGGCCTGTGCGTGATGCATCTGGCCTTCAGGCCGCCAGTTTGACACCCCCGCTGTAGAACATTACAACCTGTAATCTTTCTGACACCAGTGTTAGTTTTTGATATGAGGAAAACAATTTTCTTAATATATGTCAACAAAAATACTGTTTTTGGTAATGTTGGTCCCAGATAATGGCATGGAAGAATCCTGAATCTTGAATGATAAACATCTAAGCATGAATTTTAAAAAGCCTATAATTTTTTTTTCTTCAGTCTATTCCCTTCTAGTGCTTGTTTGTGTCATAGAATATGTAAGAAAACCTGGGAAAGTTACAAATGCAAGATATCAGTAGTAGTAGTAAGGCTCTTTGTGTAATACAAAGCCAACTGCCAAAAAGAAACTTGTGACCTACCAATATATGACACTGGGGCAATTTGAATGATATGTGCATTTTTTCTCATAGTTGCCTGTTCCTAACCTTGATGAAGCCAAAATGACTAAATGTGTGACATCACAATGCAAGCTTCTCTCTTCCATATTTGCATCACAACATCACACACTAGGACAAAATTTATGTAGAGACTCACATTTTGTTGCTAACCTTCCTGCTGCACACAGTTATGTTAGTTGTGTCAATGTAAAACATCAGTTTATCACTTAGGATTAATTTTTATTCAGAGAAATAAGAGATATGTTTGAATTTGCAAGTCAATAGCTTTTTTAATTGCCAATTAGATAGACAGTGGACCAAAAGTTGTTTCCAAAGCCTTTTTCATTCTTTAAAGATGATCCATTCAACTTCGCACTTGGTCTTCTATTCCTAAATACAAGGAAGGAAAAAGAAAAGATTAAAAATTCTCATTACCAAGAAACATTTTTTTTTTAAATGCATTTGCACTTATGCTTTTTTCCTTGATACTTGTAAGTAATAACATCTCAATAGTAATTGAGATTTAGTAGTTTTGGGTAAATATGCTCTGTGTCCCATTAATTTTTATCCCCACCACTCCTCATTTTTCATATCAATATGACTTCTTGAACATTTTTACCATATTTATGCATGTCTTTATGCTTCACCACTGTCTGAGCTACTCTGTAGGTTTTTTTGGCAAGATTTAAGAGAGGGAGTGCCATTATCTTCTTCCTAAAGCTGAGAAAGAGTGTGACTGGCTCAAAGTCACCTACCTGGCTTTATATCTAAGGCTTCTAGTTCTCCTGTCTTCTGGTTTTTAGCTTAGTGCCTTAACACAAAACTAGCTGTTTCTCAGATCAATATTGCTAAAAATTTAGAAACCTATGGCACATTTTTAAATCTGTGATCGAAGTTGGTATTCTACCAACCAATGCTTATTTTCTATCTTAAGCACATTTACTGGAGATTCGTGCAATATGACAAACTGGATATACCTTTTTGGAGCATTCTCCTTCATGACGTATGCCAATTTTACGCCCAGTTGCCCTGTAACAGCAGAGAAATAATTTGTGTGAATGACTAAAGCCTAGAACTGTACCAGCCAACCTTACAGGTGTTATATTGCTGAAATGATATATAGAAAGTGCTTGAAGATTAAAAAATATTTCTATTTCACCTTTTGGCTATATGGTCCACAAAGCATAGCATAAAACAATGGCATCTTAATTAAAAACTTACAATAAGATACAAAGGAAGGAAGGAAGGATAGTTCTAGTTAAAAACAACTATGTTATTATCTAATGGTAAAATACTGATTGGGTTGATTGCTTAAAAGATTTCAGAAGGCAATTTCATAAAGAAAATGCTTTATATGTTTTATACATATAAAAATATAGTGAACTGATATAAATTATATATATAAAACAGTGAACTGATGATCAGATTTCTTACAGAGTTCACCTATTGCCTTAAGCCATACTGTATGTTTTTTTAAAATGTGATTTTGAAATCAGCTATTATAACTTATAAACTTAAATGTATTATTTTTATGCAAGAATCTGGCCATTTCAGTAAACCATGCCTCAATCAATAGCTATGTGTCATATGCCTTATTTATTTAGCGTTCTACATCATAATGTGGTGTTTGGCTTAATGTGTTATGTAAATCCACTTCATCATGGTTAATTCACTAAGTCTTAATTTGAGAAACTGTAACTTAGTTTGATGAATTTAGGCTTCGTTCTTCGGAATCTGACCAGTTGATATAGGCTGAGGACAGCCTCTAGGAGGCTAAATCACATTAATCGCATATTCATGATGAAAAATTCAGCTACTTAAAATTTCATAAAGCTTTCTAGACAGGATCAATGCCAGATATAAGTGGCCTTTTGGGAAAATGTCTCCCTCTATTATTGTGCCTTCATGGAAATTTTAACAGGACTGGGAATTGGGTCTGTTTATACGATCAGAACTGAACCTTTGGGCTAGATCTGGGTTCCACAATCCAGGACTTTCCCAAATGCTCTCATCTGAATAGGAGACAATATGTATAATAACTCAATGGTGCACATGCTATACAAAAATGAAGTGCTAACTAGCCAGTTCTATATGTTTCCCCAATCCATAAGTAACCAGCAAGCTGAAGTCTGAGAATTAGTCAGTGAGGATCCTAAATCACCAACTGTTCCACTGCCCTATATGGATATCTGCTCTCATAGGCGATATCTATGCCACTAGTCAATAGAGCTGCAGCCAAATGTGACTTTCAGGCATAGCCGTTATTTGCACATACCATGATAACTGCTGCTATACAAGCAGGGAAAAAGGAAGAGAAGGAAAAGGGTTTACTCACTACCACTCACCATATAAAGAAAAGAAGAGTGGCAATGGATAGGCAAGATAGCAATGGTAGAATGAAAGGGCCAATGAAAAGAAGTAGCCCTTATTGTTGCTGTTGGCTGGATTCAGCCATTTCTTAATTTCTCCTAATGCTGTATACCAGAGGTCTTCAAACTTGGCAGCTTTAAGACTTGAGGACTTCAACTCCCAGAATTCTCCAGCCAGCTGTGCTATATAGTGTATACTGATGCAGCAGGCATGGTGGGAAATGAAAATGAGGACTACGCTTGGCACATTGATGCCATTCACCACATTTTCCTCTCAAAATTGGATGCAGCCAACGCTTGGCCGAGCATGCTGCAACTGATCTTGAATTTTACACAGATAAAGAGCTATGCTCAGAATAGGGAAGGAGTGGTAAATACAACATAATGGGACCATGCGTTTGGAAAGGCAAGCTACTTATATGTACAATACTCATTGTCTAATATTTTTTTAAGTTGAGTTTTGTTTTATGCCGAGCTTACCGGATTCTAGCACACAAGACGCACAGGTGGGAATAGGTCTTCCCATCAGTGCCACACACTGGCACATGATCTTGTGGACAGTCTGCAGCCGTGCCCTTTTGTGGTTGTGGATATTTACTGCAGTCAACCTACAAAGATGTTCCAGACAGTTTTAACAAATGCTCTTTGGTATTGCTTATTTTGAACAATCTGAGAAGACAGCTGTCCAGATCTGCCTTCCTGTTCCTTCATACTGGGCCCCTTCTCATCCCATAATTTTATTTATATGCATGTTTGTTTGTTTATCAAATGTATTTGCTGCCCATTTCATGGTCCAGGCAACTCTGTCGGTCTTAATATCCAGATAAAACAAATATCCAATAATTATAAATATTAAAAAATGGATTAAAATTACAAAAATGAAAACAAATTAAAAAATAAGGGTATGGAGGAGAGAAGTTAGATGCCTTCTCTGTCAGTTTATCAACCATCTCCAGCCAATAGACCTCATGTCAGCCATCATTGCCGGCTTTTAAGGTCTTTATGAACTAAAGGAGAGACAATGGATCCTATCTTCTGTGGCAAGATGTTCCAAAGAGCAAGAGCTGAATGAATGAATGAATGAATGAATGAATAGTGGGACAAGTCAATCCTATTGGGAAAATAAAGTTCCGCAGGTATCTTGTACCCATGTCATAAAGGGCTTTAAAGGTAATAACCAACACCTTGAATTGCATTCAGAAGCAGATCGGCAGCCAGTGAAGCTCATGTAACAGTGGTGTTATGTATGACACCCTAGAGGCCTTTAAAACTGTCCTGCTGCATTTCAGACCAATTGTAGCTTCCAAATACTCTTCAAGGGTAGCACCATGTAGAAAGTGTTGCAAATATGTGTGTGTGTGTGTGTGTGAGTGTGTGAAAAGACATGTTTTACATCAGAATGAGCTATAGTTCAATTTTAAATTACAGTACATAATAGTAATACTTACACATTTCCCTTCATGTGCCATGTCTAGTTTGGGTTTACTTCTAAAAAAAAAAAGATCTGAACTTAATAAATGAAGGAAGTAGCAAATGTGACGGTCAAGTTTCAAAGTAAGGCAAACAACATTTTAAAAATTGGCAATGCATATTCTAGGCATGCTTTTACATTCAAGAAGTTTCTCTTATGCTAATGGTTACCACTTAACAAAAGAATTCTAATTGTCTACTTTTAGTTAGTTTCATTTATTTAGTTTCATTGTATTTTCACATGTAATTCATTGTTAATAACCCAACAATTCAAGTGTTTCCCCCCATTTTTTACTATCTGTCATCAAATGGGAAGATATATACACATTGCCTTTATAAGGCCGAGAATCAGTCTTCACATAACTCAAACATTGTTTAGTTAAATAATGTAGGTAAACAGAGGACTACACAAACTCTGTTTTGAGTTGTGACCTACAGAAGCTCCTTAAAATATAAATCAACATGAATTTCTGCATTAGATTGTAGATTAAATTTTCAAATGTTTGGCTCTTTTACTTTATCCTGGAGGCTAATGCCATTTTTTGACCTTTAACTAGTGTGCTGTTGTACGTAAATAGAGGAAAGATGGAAGCACTCACAAGATTTTGGAACATAATTCACATTTGTTAGAATAAGTCTTGCCATCAGTTCCACACACTGGATCATAGATATCAGGACAACCATACTGGCCTTTTTTATCTTTTGGATATTGGTTGCAAACAATCTGCAAAATAAATGAAAAATCAGATTGCAATAGGAGTCCCTTTTTCTTTGTTATTTATATTTCAGAAAAACAGAGCTTGTTGAATTAATGTCCCTTCTAATTTTGGATGATGGCCAAAAAGGGCACGTGCTATTTGCTTTAGGAATTTGTGTTGTTGTTTTTTTTAATTTATTTTAAGGGCTACCTGAGTTAAAAGGAATGTGGTTAACTATTAATGATTTAACCGGAATTTGACACAATGGACTAGCCTGTTGTGGAAAAAAGTCAATAATACACATTTAGAGGACAAGAAGTAATTTGTTAAAGTAACAGCAATGTTCTTCTTTCTCTAAACATGAAATTAAAAGATCCACATGCAACTGACACTAAAGATCAGCAATCTTCTTTAATGAGTGTTGCTGCCAAGGTCACGTAGTAGGTGAGCTGTAGGAAACAGTGAGTAGTTCAGAGGCCAAAGTGGGTGGCTTCTCTTTGTGACATCCTGTTTCTTCTGCTTTCCCTCAGATATCCTCAACGTAAGTATCACTCCAAATCACAAGCAATAATCTTTTTGTACTTTATCCTGCTTTGGCCAGAACTCACCTTGAGTAATATCTAATTCTGAGTCCCCAACTTTATAGAAATTAAAATAAGTTCAGAAAAGGAATATAAAATATAGAAAGGCTAAAGGAACAGTTTAGAATTGAGAAAAGAACACTGGAATTGGGCTGGTGACGGTATGCGCTATGATAGCATTTTTCAAATACCTGAAGAAGAAGGTCAAGATTATTTTCTCTCCATGCAGAAATAGCGTATTTTATTTTCCAAATCTGTACCTGTGTGGTTCTTCCCAAATGCAGGAAGACAGATTCATTTTATTTTGAAGAAAATTTTGTAACGGTAGAATGGCACATGGGAATCCATTACTTTGAGAGATGGTGAACCGTCATCTGTCTGAAAAGATTTAATTTGGATTCCTGCACTGAGCAGGGAGGCTTGATGTTCTACTTTCAATATTGCACCCTTTTAACTCTAAAATTCTGTTCTTCTGTTCCTCCTTTCATTCCTTTTGGACTGCTCTTCTGTTCTTTTAACCGGCATGGTTGCATAAGTTTTACCATAAATTCTAAGAGCCGTGGTGGCGCAGTGGTCAGAATGTAGTACTGCAGGCTACTTCTGCTGATCACCGGCTGCCAGCAGTTTGGCAGATTGAATCTCACCTGACTTAAGGTTGACTCAGCCTTCCATCCTTCTGAGGTGGGTAAAATGAGGACCCAGATTGTTGGGGGCCATAGGCTGACTCTGTAAACCTCTTAGAGAGGGCTATAAAGCACTGTGAAGTGGTATATAAGTCTAAGTGCTATTGCTATTGCTATCAGAATTGAAACTGGCCACTTTAATTCTAGTATTTCAAACTGCAAATTACAGAAAATGGCTCTGAAACATAAAGGTCTCATCTTCAACAATTGCCCATCAAGAATTAGATTGTTTATATTTATTGTTACATATAACAGAGAATCATAGCAAAGTACTGATACTTTAATTCCATGACTGTGAGCATAATGTCAGCTGCTAAGCAAACTTGGAACATACCAATATATGTCAAACTATAAACTGACCTTATGTCCTGAGATCCCAGGAGCTGAAAAATAATAAAATAAGCAAATAAATAAAAGCCGCCAAGACTAAAGGTTTATTTGCATTACACTTAAAATGCTATCCTTAATTCAAGCCATTTTAAGAAAATCTTGTCTCAACTGAGACACTCTGGCAACAGCTTGCAAGATATTCAGTCTGGACTACAGGTAACCATATCTGCCAATGGACAGTTCTGCTGATGCTGTGCCCTCCCATTTCTTCAAACCAGGAGATTCTCAATATATTTTTTCTACTGAGTGAATCTTATCTTTTCTTTTATGCACCCCAAGAAAGCATATGCACCAAGGCAAATTCCTTGTGTGTCCAATCACACTTGGCCAATAAAAAATTCTATTCTATTTTTACTTTTCACTTATACATATACCAATTTATAC